CACCAGGGAAGCAGAAAACAAGCTTGCTCCCTCCTCCCTGTGGCTTCCTCTCACATATTTATACATGGCTATCATATCTCCTCTCAGCCTTCTCTTCTTCAGGCTAAACATGCCCAGAGGAGAGAGAATTGCACCTTGGGGGACCCCACATAGGAGGGGAGATCTATCGGAGACTTGACCCATGTACTCCATGCGTTGATTCCGGTTCCGGAGAAATGAGTTGAACCAATTGAGGGCCTGACCACGAACTCCGGACGTGGCAAGACGGTGAATCATTAGATCGCAGTCGACGGTGTCAAATGCTGCTGTAAGGTTGAGAAGTACCAGTAATAATAGTAGCAAACTCATTCTCTTAGTGCTAGTTAAGTATAGCAATAATGGCATTGTTTGTGAACAAGAGCGAGGAATCAACAGACTTTGAACAATCCCAAACTTTCTAGAAGTGCAATGTATATTTGGTGGTTTGAATCCGGGGAGTGGAGTGAGCAATCCCCTTGAATGTCTGTCTAACAGTGTGTCTATATGGCACACAATTAACCATAGAACTTCAACTTAGCACAGATTTATACTATTACTTACTTTAGTCCTCTTTTGTAGATTCAGTAATTTTATTTATTACTAGCCATCCCCTGCCATGTGCTGCTGTGGCCCAGTCTGTGTATATGTGTTTTGTGTGTGTATATGTCTGTTTATGTGTGTGTATATATTTGTGTATATATGTGTGTTTATATATGTGTGTGTGTTTATATGTGTACATGCATATTGTGTATATGTGTGTATGTATGTGTATATGTATATGTGTGTGCATGTGTATATGTATACATGTATGTGTGCATGTTTATATGTATATATGTATGTATGTATATGAATGTGTGTGTATATGCGTACATTTGTGTGTGTTTGTGCATATATGTGTGTGTCTGTGTATGAATATGTGCATGTGTATATCTATATGAGTGTATGTGTATATGTATATATGGTGTATTTTGGGGGGTTTTAAGTCTGTTCTGCTGGGTTTGTGTGTGTGTTTGTGTGTGTGTGTTTGGGGTGATGGACACATGTTGGACTGTTAGGTGTCTTGTGTCCAAATGTCATGTCAATTCGTCTATTGGTTTTTGAGTTATGCTAATCCCACAAATGAACATTACATTTTTATTTATATAGACTAGCCGTCCCCTGCCACGCGTTGCTGTGGCCCACATGGGGGTTCTGTGTGGGAGGTCTGGCCCAATTCTATTGTTGGTGGGATTCAGAATGCTCTGTGATTGTAGGTGAACTATAAATCCCAGCAACTACAACTCCCAAATGTCAAGATTCTATTTTCTCCAAACTCCACCAGTGTTCACATTTGGGCATATTGAGTATTCTTGGTCCAGATCCATCATTGTTTGAATCCACAGTGATCTCTGGATGTAGGTGAACTACAACTCCAAAACCGACTGTTAGGAATTGTGGGTGTTGCAGTCCAGAACACCTGGAGGACCAAAGTTTGCCCATGTCTGCAGTAGAGGGAAGTGGTGGCTGGTGGAAAACCGAATAGGAATACTTTAAAAACAGCAACATTTTATTGGTAGTCCATCAAATGACACGCAAGGGAGGAAGAACAATGTGATTTCTCCCCTAGTTCCTGCACATATTTTGTGAATGAGCCATTTTAAAAAAATGTATTAGGACATTCTGTAATCTTGGTGACACTACCAGAAATGCTCTGTTCTGGAAACCCTCCATTTGTGTTTCTTATCAGCCAAGAAAGCAAGGCATTTTAAAGTGAGCTTGTTCCTTTCCTTTGCAAAGTATGTCGGAAACTTGGTCTTGTGTTTGCTTTCCTGACATCCATCGGCTTGCTGCTGGGAGAGCTTCTCTGGCTAGTAAAGTCCCTTTATCCTGTTTGGTTCCAACGTCCTCCAACTTCCTCCATCAACCAAGTCAGGGCCAGATCAACTACACCCAAGAGTATTGAAGGAACTAGCAGAAGTCATTTTGGAACCATTGGCAACCATCTTTGAGAGTTCTTGGAGAACGGGAGAAGTTCCAGCAGATTGGAGGAGGGCCAATGTGGTCCCAATCTTCAAGAAGGGAAAAAAGGATGACCCAAACAACTACCGTCCGGTCAGCCTCACGCAATACCAGGCAAGATTCTGGAAAAGATTGTTAAGGAAGTGGCCTGCAAACACTTAGAAACAAATGCGGTCATTGCTAATAGTCAACATGAATTTATCAAAAACAAGTCATGCCAGACTAATCTGATCTCTTTTTTCGATAGAGTTACAAGCTGGGTAGATGCGGGGAATGCCGTGGATGTAGCGTACCTGGATTTCAGTAAGGCCTTCGACAAGGTCCCCCATGACCTTCTGGCAAGGAAACTAGTCCAATGTGGGCTAGGCAAAACTACGGTGAGGTGGATCTGGAATTGGTTAAATGGACGAACCCAGAGGGTGATTCTCCCCAATGCTTCCTCTTCATCCTGGAAAGAAGTGACGAGCGGAGTGCCATCAGCAGGGTTCCGTCCTGGGCCCGGTCCTGTTCAGGATCTTTATTAATGACTTAGATGAAGGGTTAGAAGGCAGGATCATCAAGTTTGCAGACGACACCAAATTGGGAGGGAGAGCCAATACTCCAGAGGACAGGAGCAGGATTCAAAACGATCTTGACAGATTAGAGAGATGAATGGCCAAAACTAGCAAAATGAAGTTCAACAGTGACAAATGCAAGATACTCCACTTTGGCAGGAAAAACGAAATGTAAAGATACAGAATGGAGGATGCCTGCTCGAGAGCAGTACGTGTGAAAAAGATCTTGGAGTCCTCGTGGACAGCACGTTAAACATGAGCCAACAATGTGATGTGGCAGCAAAAAAAGCCAATGGGATTTTGGCCTGCATCAATAGGAGCATAGTTGTCTAGATCTAGGGAAGTAATGCTACCCCTCTATTCTGCTTTGGTTAGACCACACCTGGAATATTGTGTCCAATTCTGGGCACCACAATTCAAGAGAGATATTGACAAGCTGGAATGTGTCCAGAGGAGAGCGACTAAAATGATCAAAGGTCTGGAGAACAAGCCCTATGAGGAGCGGCTTAAGGAGCTGGGCATGTTTAGACTGAAGAAGAGAAGGCTGAGAGGGGATATGATAGCCATGTATAAATATGTGAGAGGAAGCCACAGGGAGGAGGGAGCAAGCTTGTTTTCTGCTTCTCTGGAGAGTAGGACGCGGAACAATGGCTTCAAACTACAAGAGAGGAGATTCCATCTGAACATGAGGAAGAACTTCCTGACTGTGAGAGCCGTTCAGCAGTGGAACTCTCTGCCCCGGAGTGTGGAGAGGCTCCTTCTTTGGAAGCTTTTAAACAGAGGCTGGATGGCCATCTGTCAGGGGTGATTTGAATGCAATTCCTGCTTCTTGGCAGGGGGTTGGACTGGATGGCCCATGAGGTCTCTTCCAACTCTTTGATTCTATGATTCTATGTTGTTCCTGGTCAGTTCTTACTGTTGCTACTTGGTGCTTGTACAGATTCCTCAGGAGAGCAGAGGGCTTTCCAGGCCTCTTTATCGTAAAGTAAACAGTTTAGTGGACCACAAAAGCAGCCTTCTTTGGGTCTTAGTCCCACGATGGAGAAGCCAGCTGTGCTGAAAGGAGAGGGAGAAAAGGCAAGCACCCACCAGTTCTCTCAGCCGCTCATTAAGAGCTTTTCTAATGAGCAATTAGCATTCCCGAACAGCGCCTTCTGTCAGGAGGGCCACCGGGCAACCCCCCAGCTTTTGACAGCGTGCGGCAGAGAGCCACTCCAAACTCTTCCCATCCTTTCAGTCGGAATGCCTCTCTCTTTCTCTTAAGAGGCCCTTTGGCAGGCATTGGAGCAAAGCCACAGTGTTGTGTTTGGTTACAATGAGAGATGGTGTTCCTGCTTTGGCCATCCCAAGGGAAACCCTCCTCGCCTCCTGGAAAGATGCAGCATTTCTGGCTCTGCTAATAGGTTGTCAATTCCAGCGCAGGGCTCTCCCCTGTACTTGCAGTTTGCCCAATTACAGGCAAGCAGGTTATGTTGCGCAAAACCAAATTTTAGCCAAGTCCCATGCAAAAGACACACAGGCAAGAGGAAAAAAGGAACAGAAAAACTTACTCTTATCAGCAGAGGCATAAACTTGCAGTGTTGCATACAAAATCAAACAGTGCAACAAACTTACATAGTTCTTGCAGACCACGGACCACAAGTTGGGAACCATGATGAATTTATTCATCATATCAGGAGCGAACCAAACAGTTGTATTGCATTTTTAAACAAACAAACAAACAAAACACAAAGTTTGCAAGCTTGGTAGTTGATTAAATGTCCTTTGACCAGTATCTGGCCACTTGGAGTGCCTCTGGTGTTGCTGCAAGAAGGTCCTCCATTGTGCATGTGGCAGGGCTCAGGGTGCATTGCAGCAGGTGGTCAGTGGTTTGCTCTTCTTCACACCTGCATGTTGTGGATTCCACTTTGTAGCCCCATTTCTTAAGGTTGGCTCTGCATCTCGTGGTGCCAGAGCGCAGTCTGTTCAGCACCTTCCAAGTTGCCTTCCAGGAGGGAGTCTCTCATTTGGTGCCTGGGTTTGAGCCTGCCACTTTTGGACTCTCGCTTGCTAAGGTGTTCCAGTGAGTGTCTCTGTAGATCTTAGAAAACTATTTCTTGATTTTAAGTCACTGACGTGCTGGCTGATACCCAAACCACTGGGAACCACTGATGTACACAAATTCCAACATCTGGGGAAAAAATCCAAATCCAAAATACTTCTGGTTCCAAACACGTCGGATAAAGGATACTCAATCTGTACATAGCTAGGTAGAACATCTTCATGTTGACATCATTTCATACATTAATCATACATGTCGTTCCTTGCCATTCTCTCCCCATAGTGTGTGGCTGAGGACCACACAACTAGCACCCACTGACTTCAAGCCATGGTTGCCTGGTTAACATAGGATTAATAACTCACTCTCTTTCTCTCTCTTTCTCTCTGCAGGCTCTTGAGCAACAACAAGATAACAACCCTAAAGAATGCCTCTTTCTTTGGACTACACGCTCTCGAGAAGCTGTAAGTGCCATTGTGTATTGTATGCAGTTCTGGGTTCCTTATGAAGAATTCGGGAATTATCAGTCAGAAGGCTGGGGAAACACAATCAGCTCATATAAGAAGCAGTGAAGAAGAGTACTTAGATTTTAGCATAGTAATTTTATTTTTCACGTCAGGAGCGACTTGAGAAACTGCAAGTCACCTCTGGTATGAGAAAATTGGTTGTCTGCAAGGACATCGTCCAGAGAATGCCCAGATGTTTGATGTTTTACCATCCTTGTGGGAGGCTACTCTCATGTTTGAGCATGGGGAGCTGGAGCTGACAGAGGGAGCTCATTCACACTCTCCTGGGATTCGAACCTCCAGCCTTTCAGTCTTTAGTCCTGCTGACACAAGAGTTTAATTCCTGGCAGGATAGCAAAAGAAGGATATGTTTTGAGTTTTACACAATAGTTATTTGCTATAAGTTGAATGTTATTGCCTGGGTATCCAGTGGCCTAGTAAAGAGATATATAGTTTCTTATTCTTATGTGAGTATTAGAGGATAGACAACTTTGGGTAAGATATTCATTTTACCATGTATGCTCAAGTATAAGTTGAGTTTGTTTATATGTTGTTGCTATTTATCATGAAAGAATTAACCAACTTGCACAAACTTCTTATTTGGGAAGGAAAGATAATAATATTTTAAGAAAAATCTCATGCAAGAGAAAGTAGGATTCATACTTTCCCATCTAAAGCCAAAAGTTTGGGCAAGAAAAAATGTTGGATCCTTTTGTATCTAAAGGAGAATCTTTGGGTAGTAGGAGTACCATGAGTAAACAAATGTGATGTAATGTTTGGATGCTGGATGGGATTTAAGAGAGGTCGTTTCTTTTCTCCACCAAACCATAACACTTACTAAGTGACCGGAGACTAACCATCCTCACTTGGCTCACAGGATTGGCATGAGGGTAAACTTGGAAGATGGACAGTGTCGTACTCCAGAGCAGGTAAAATCAGCAAGCAGTCTATAGAAAGATATAAATATAAGGGAGCATACAACCCCTCTGTTATGTCAGCTCCACTGGTTGCCGATCCAGTTCCAAGCACAATTCAAAGTTCTGGATTTGACCCATAAAACCCTATACTGCTCCGGCCCAGTGTACTTGTCCGACCATATCTCCTTCTACGTCCCACCTAGGAGTTTAAGATCTTCTGGAGAGGCTCTGCTCTTGGCCCCACCTTTGTCGCAAATGTGCGTGGTGGAGACAAGGGACAGGGCCTTCTCGGTGGTGGCCCCCTGCCTGTGGAATTCACTCCCCGGGATCATCATCATCATCATCATCATCATCATCATCATCATCATTATTTAATTACTTATTAATCGCCCTCCATCCGAGAATGCTCTGGGCGATTTACAGCTAAATTGTAAAAGATAAAATACATACATCCAAAAATTAAAAATTAACAGAGATCGAATGCTCTAGTAAAAAGCCAGGTCTTAAGTGCGAGAGTAAAAGGCCCTAAGTCACGCATGGCTCTCATGTAGGGCGGCAAGGAATTCCATAAGGCAGGGGCAGAAATAGAGAAAGCCCATCTGCGCCTGGTCCTTTCCAAGTACCCTTCTCTAGGACCCGGTATATAGAGTAAGTCGCGTTGGGCTGGTTGTTGCGACCTCCGATGATGGGAGAAGGAGAGGCGGTCCCTAAGGTACGATGGACCCTGGCCGTAAAGAATTTTAAAGGTCAGAACTAACATTTTATACAGGACACGGTACTCAGTTGGAAGCCAATGTAAATGTTGCAGCACTGGTGTTATATGGCATTTCATGGGCGTCATCTTCATCCCTCCTCTCCATTAGATAGAAGTTAAAAACATGGATGTGGGACCAGGCTTTTGGGTAATCTATGCAGACTTTGACTATGACAATGACGACAGTTGCTATGGAAATAGATTATGGGCAAGCTTGATGGACTCTCCAATCTACAGAATTCGGCTAGATAATAGCCACTAGGCTGGTTTATTTTTGTAGATTTATTGTATTTTGTTGTTCATTCGTTCAGTCGTTTCCGACTCTTTGTGACCTCATGGACCAGCCCACACTAGAGCTCCCTGTTGGCCGTCACCACCCCCAGCTCCTTCAAGGTCAATCCCATCACTTCAAGGATGCCATCCATCCATCTTGCCCTTGATCGGCCCCTCTTCCTTTCCCCCCAGCATTTTATTGTATTAACATAATGTTTTTAACTATTTAAAATTATTGCTATGTATTTTATTGTGTTTATTTGTAGGCATCAAATATGTGTGGGCTGGAAGCCGCCCTGATTCCCCTCCCCCCAAAGGTAGTTGAGAAGGACGGGGTACAAACAGGGGTGGCTCAACCCATTACGCAAAGTAAGCATTTGCAGTATAGTTGATTTTGCCCAGAGGCGCTCTTGAGGCGCTCTTGGGGGAAAATAGACTTTGACATATGCGAGTTGTAGTTACTGGGATGTATAGTTCACCTACAATCAAAGAGCATTCTGAACTCCACCAATGATGGAATTGAACCAAATATGGCACACAGAACTCCCACGACAAAATATATATCAGTGATTGGTTTGGGGGGGGGGGGGCGCAAAATACTGTTTGCTTATCGTTGAAAATTACCTAGGGCCGCCTCTGGGTAAAATTATCTGAAATAAATAAATAAATAAATAATAAAGTAAACAAAGTAGTAAAATTAGCAAAATAGTAACGTTCCAAAACAAAGGTTAGTCCATGAGCTTCAAGGCAAAGCAAGACCCATAGGTCCATGAAACAGACACAAGAATCCATTAAACAAGGCAGCATGAAAAATCTAATACACAAATCAGGAGCTTGGTAAAAACTTGGCGCATGAAATTAAGAACACTTGAGAGCAAGGCTAGACAAGAAATTCCAACGTTGACCCAACTGAGGCAACTCTTTCCCACGACTCAATATAAAGCTTTTCCAGATCCCAAAACCAAAAGGAAAACATTTCGCTTGACCTTCCCTCCAGACAGGCCCGTAGCCAGGATTTCGTTTCGGGGGGAGCTGAATTTTTTTCGGGGGGGGGGGGGGGCTGAGTTTCGGGGGGGCTGAGTCTGAGTGAAAGAGGGTCTACCCTAGCAAACCTTTTGTATCATTACCCCAATACCTCCATGCATATGGGATATATTGAGTATGGTGATCAGATCATGATATGAATAAACATAACAGTTTAAATAATGCACCAGTAAGGCCTTTTCGCGAACCACCATGAGAATTTCAGGGGGGGGGGGGCTGAAGCCCCTCAAGCCCCCCCCCCCCAGCTATATGCCTGCCTCCAGATAAAGCTTTTTATCTCTCTTTTCCTGTAAACGAACTGTTCTGTTGCATGCTGGGCCTATAAATAATTTCCTTTAGAACAGGACGTGCAACCTTTGCCCAGCGGGAAGCCAAGGGGCCCAAGGAGAAGTTCTCAGAGGTTTTCCACCACAAATGACCTTTAGATGGCTTGTGAAGTATAACAAAGACTTTTATTAATGAACAATCAAACATAAACTTCTCTTGCCTTCAATAAAGCTAAACAAATGCTTCCAAGCTTTATGCAACTGGTGACTTCCTAATCTTGCCCACGAAGGACAGGCAACTGTCTTCAATAACTTCTTCTTTACTTTAAATGGAAAATCCCCTTTTTAACTTCTCCCAGGCTGACTGGAATCTAACCCTTACTGATGTGGGCTCCGCTACCGGGTCGAACTGCATCTCAAGCACCGAGTGGACCTACCAGTAAAGCCAGTAGATTTTCCAGCTGGAGTTCTTTGGTCTTCCAAACTGTTTCCCCCCGGAAAGTCTTGATGCTCTTAAGACTGTTTCGCCCCGGAAAGTCTTAAGGGTTGAAGCTTTTGTACAGGGAAGCTTGCACACGTCCTGTACATTAGCTTTCCTTGCTGAGACTAATTAAAAATGGCTCCCTTCCCAATTGCCCTGAGCAAGGGGTGGGACCAAAACTTAACGATGATGGACAGGTGACTTGCCCTACGACTGCAACCAAAGGAAGCCACATTTCTGCAGAATCCCAGGAACCTTGGACTGCAAGCAAACATTTAATACAAAGCAAATAAAATGGGAGCTCCTGATACAGCCGTACCAGAACAGAACTGTTCTTATTTGTTCCTGAGCACTCTATTGCTCTTTACAAAAGCCTAGCTTTCTATCTACACTCTCATTAACTTGACTTCATTAACTTCCACACCTGACAAATTGTTAGGGATTCCTTGTCTTTAGAAGAGGAAGGGGAGCAGGGAAGTGCTCAGGAATTGGAGAGGAAGAGGAATCAGATGAGGAGGTTTTGCTAGTGCCCACATTTCTGGAGAGGCGAAAGGAAACAGAGCACAGGCGGCGTTCAGCTAGAATAGCTGCTAGAAACGCTGAGTTAATTGGGAGCCTCCCTAGCACCTCCTGCTATAAATCAGAAGCAGGAGGAATTAGCTTTCGTTGGTAACAATGACTCTGATGCTGATGTTTTCGCTCCAATTGAACCTGCTTCAAGTCTGCTTCTAAAGATTTAGTGACCATTGCTCATTGTCTGATATAAGGCTGCTGTTTTTTTGGACTTTGAAACTTTAATTTTGTGGGTTGTTGTAGGATTTTTCAGGCTGTATGGCCATGGTCTAGAGGCATTCTCTCCTGATGTTTTGCCTGCATCTATGGCAAGCATCCTCGGAGGTAGTGAGGTCTGTTGGAACTAGGGAAAAGGGTTTATATATCTGTGGAATGACCAGGGTGAGACAAAGGACTCTTGTCTGCTGGAGCTAGGTGTGAATGTTTCAACTGACCACCTTGATTAGCATACAATGGGCTGACTGTGTGAAACGTCAGGAGAGAATGCCTCTAGACCATGGCCATACAGCCCGAAAAAAACTACAACAAACCAGTGATTCCGGCCATGAAAGCCTTCGACAATACTTTCATTTTGTGTCTGCATTAAGACTTCCTTGCTTTCTTTTGCATTTTTCAACTGCGTTTGCTGTTCTTTTGTGTTTGCTGAAGTA